ATATATATAGTTTTATTATTGTATGACCGTGGAACTTTAGATGATAGAAGTCATATTGCATCGTTACCATCTGAGAATTCTACTGAATCATTTTCACATCTCAGATAAACATAACAGCATCCTTTGGCCCCTGGGCATTTTCGCACCCCGCCACATGTGACTTTGGCACTTTAGCTATATATTCTTCAAGCAATCATTACTGTCTGTCATCCTGACAGGTGAGGGTGTGTTGAGGAGGTAAAAGCCAGAGAAGGCCGAAAAAAAGGAGCGAAATGGAGACATGGGGGAAGTCATGCAGTGAGACAGACRCGCCCTGTGGCAGTCTTCATGTCCATCAAGCTGCTACTCTGTACGTCTGCATTTGCTTCTTTCAGTGCACKGTCACCGCATCCTGTTGCAGTTGAGTGCCGTCATAAATGAATGAGACTTTTGATGGATTAACATCATTAGCGTGACCCCGTTTTCACACTATTAAWGTCGACCCACTTTCTAAGAGAGAGATTTAATAAGATGTGTAAGTAATCCTCTAACAAAGCTCTCTTCTGAATTGATTAATATGTCAACCATACATTGGGATGCGCACACTGTTGAGGGTGTTTGCATGTGTAGTTAACAGAAAGCAACCATAATAGTTATAGCAAACAGTAATGGTATACTGCATGAAAAATGCACATCACTACTCATCGATGAACACAATATGACATGATGTACATAAATGAATAAAACTAATCGAAGTATCTGTGCTGAATTAAAGTTTTAACATTCTCCTTAGTGAGGCTGTTTGAGTAGCAAAATAATATAAAGGTTCAGACATGAATGTGTAAAGAAGACTCAATGAAGAAAAATATAAATATTTGACTTTTTTTCAAAAAATTGCATTTGTCATAATACCACAGAAGATGAACATGTATGTGACRTGTTTTTGTTTCTGCAGGAGCTGAGATGTTTCAATAGTTTATATCTATAGAAACAACCACACCTGACACAAAATGTCACAATACATTCAGCAACAAATCACACAGATGCTAATGCGATGCACAAATGCATATATTTCTTTCTACAGCCGAAAAATATTTATTGGGATCCAGATAAGTCACAATATTACAACCGTGAGTTGTAAAATGGACCAATGTGAAAACTGCTAAATAAAATGTGTCTTAATTTGTGCATTTATTTAGATTATTTAAATATAAACAGTTTCAACCCGATACATTATTTCACTCATTGATTTTGTTTTGGTCTTTAAGGCCTAAAACACTCTCTGTTTTTAATGCTAAAAAAAATCACATTGTAGGGATCTGGATGCTTCTTTCTTTATTAAAAAGGATGAGCTATGTCTGTTCATTTTTTAGTTTTGTGTGTTATAGCATATTCATGATCATTTAAACTACAGAGTTCACACTTTTTGAAAAATTAAAAAGAAAAAGAAGCAAACATCTTGGTGAACTACTACTACAACTACAACGTCTGGCTACTACTGCTTGACAAACTGTCCTATGAAGAGAGATGGAGTTCTTTAAGTAGGCTTTTAGTGGCTCATCTATTACACCATTAAAGTTAGTATGTAATGTATTGCTATTTTTTCTCTCTCTTTGTGTGTGTTTTTATAAAGAAAAAGTTTAAGAGCATAAACAAACAAAGAATCTTGACACTAGCTGCGTTTCCATTGCAAATGTGCGCAAAACTGTCGATATTCTGTTGGTGTCGAAAAACACATTTTCGCAACTSYGRTGTTTCCATTAAGTAAGAAATGCTATTAAAGTCACGCGTGAATATGCTTGTTCTCGCTATAAGTCATTACAATCGTGGTGCACAAACACATAGCATATCGCTACCGCGACACTAACGCTCATCATCAGAGGAGACATCAGCGACTTTTATCGACGAGGTTTTCCAGTGACAAGCCCCTACTTGGGAGCAGCTACATATGCTGTCTTTGGGAAATTGTAGTCAGTGAGTTTACTATTTTATTTTACTACTTCTGTGATATTACTACTACTTCTACTTCATGTTATCTTCGTCGTTGTCTTTTTGCCAGTAGAAACAGATGGTTGTTGATCACGTGACTCCCGTGATGCGAAAAAAGTGTTTCCATTGCAGTTTTGCGAAAAACACCAATTTCGATACGGCTGAAACACCACCTCATCCTTGCGCAAACACATCTTGTCGAAAAACATAATTTATTTTTTTCGAAATTGACGTGTTTCCATTGAGCAAATTTATTTTCGAAATTCTAATTTGCGCATTTTCATGGTCAATGGAAACGCAGCTACGGAGGCTAAAAGGCCTCTTGACATGTTGGCACTGCTGGTGTGAAAAGCAAATAAAAAAACAAAAGGCAAGACTGGCAACAATCAACTTCCAAAGACGTCTGCAGGGGTGGGAGTTGWTGATGCCACTTCTCAGATGGGTGGAAGCTGAGGGCACAAGATAAAAGTCTTACCTGAAAAAACACTGGGGATCTTGGTTAGAAAACTCTTCACTGTCCGTATGGGGATGCCATTTTTCTCCTCCTGCATGCGTGCTATTAACTCCTCCATCTGGGCAACACAGTGACAGTTGAAGAGGATATGAGAGWGGGGGGAGAGACACACGGCAAAAGGGAGCAAGTGAATAGATTTCATCACCTCATCTAATGTACCTTGGCTTATGAAAGCAAAAACAGAAAGAGGTAAACAAATACAAACAGGTTCTTGTGMGGTTCAGCCGGGTCTCCAGGGGAGAGAAAAGGGAAGCGATGGAGTTGGTGACTAACAAGCACAGCTGTCAGATTTGCACCTCTCCTATGACAAACCTTGCTGATTTGTGTCATTTGTCACRTTAAACCCAACCATAAGCCGCGTGTGTTCAACACCGCAGCAGCTACGGAACTTTGGAAATCTAGCAGCGATGCTTTCCTATTATCCATCACAGTTGTGTCCTTTTAACAGCCTCACATTTAAACTATGCTCAGCGGCGTCAAAACATCTCAGGCAGAATAGTTTTTATGTTCTGCTGAGTTACAATTTGGCACCGAAAGCAGCACGAATGAATGACATGAGTGGGCAAACAGCTACACACTGACATACGTGCAAACTCTCACACACATTTGCACGCACAACTTTGGGGAAAAAAATGTACCGGGAGTTTTCTCCAGGGCCTGGCAGGAAAGACAAACAAGCCACCATATTTACCAGAGCATATGAAAGAAACAGGAGTAAAGGCTTGATATTCATCAACACTAAGCTTAGGCAACAATTTTGGCAAAAAAGCTGGTGCTTTAGGGAACGCTAGGCTTTTATTTATTGTTGTTTTATCTTTAATTCGCTTTTTTCCTAAWAGCATCTTTCACAAAATATGAAAAGCATGAGCTGCAAGGCAAAGTTGTCATTATATCTAGTTTAAATTAAATAGTTGGGTGAGTTTGTTTGCAGGTTATGTTGATCATGAAAAAAACTATTCAGCAAAATGAAGTGGGAAAAAAAACAGCAAATAACTTAGTTAAATATTACTTAAATATCTTAGTTGTTATTTTTTATTTTCTTTCTTTAAAGAGACTGCTTTTATCAAATTCTACAAACAAAAAATCAAACAATTAACAAACCATAAATTTGTGCCATTTATGTGAAAGCTGTGACTGTGACTGTGCACACCGCCGCGCATAAACAAGTGTAATGTTGCCGTCACGAGTCAAGCGGCAGGGATCATCCCCTTCAATTCTGTTTACTCTTTATTTTGGATGCGGCGTGACACACAAGCCTAATCAGCGCGGCTCATCTGGGAATGTATTTTCACCGCGGCACTATTCCATTTCATACAAATGAGGGGCTTGTGTGGGTGAAAATGAATTTCTTGGACACATYGGAGAGAAAGCAGCAGTTTCGATTAAGAACAATCTGGGATTGATATGCAAATCTGTAACCACTCGGGTGGTGGTGGTCATGAGCCAGTAGTGAAGCATTATGTTTTGATGAAAGCTTGTTGCCAGTCAAATACCCTGAAGCTCAGAACCACACGATTGAAGTTTAATTGACAATGATAAAGCACAAATACTGTAACTGAAAAGCTGCTGTAAAGACTCCAGAAAGACTAAGACAGTGAGAGAAGAACAGAAAAACTCTACATGCTGAATTAATGTCCGAACAATTTCTTGGTATTTTCCATATTTTTAGGCTCAGAAAGGCACTTTTACATTCTTTGATGGGCTTGTCACTAAGGCAACTAATGTAATTTTCTCACAGGTAATGGTTAGATAATAGTAAATTTTGACCTGAAGCACACTCTGTTTTTCAAAGCAAGCTGTCCTAAAAGCAAACCAGAAARTGATATATAAGTAAAAGGAAAGAAAATACAATGAAATAAGACTCAAATTTAGGCAGGATTTCAGATTTTTTTGAGTCAGGATTYCAAWTTCTTTTCTTTTTTTTTTCTTTGACAGGCTGTTTGTGCTCAACTTTTCAAAATAAAAGTGTTCTTTGTTAAACCTGAACCCTAATAAAACAAAAAATCTTACTAATCATGACACAATTAGGGCACTTGTTTCAATTAATCATGTAAACGCATTGAAACCAAATGTTAACTTGAGCTTTTATGTGACRGAACAATTATGACATCATTTTGACATTTTATAACAAAAGACTAACCCTTTAGGGTTTTTTATTTATGGTGCCAGGACAAACCTCTTGACTTTATCTTGGTTTTTTTTTTTAAAGCTCAGCAATTCTAATCAATCCCTGAAGCTATTTAGTCTGAAAATGAATAAATTAAATGATAGTTTTAGTATTGTCGTGCTTTACCTTCTGGATGGGATGGAGATGCGTGGGTGATGAAGCACACGACAAAGGATCTTCCTCTTATGAACTTTACTTACTCCATAACAGGTTAGTGTACAATCACAAATGCTGAGTGATACACTGTGTTGATTTGGCCTCWAGCTCTGGCACAAACTGCATTTTAGCAGTGTCCATGCAGGGAACCAYGAGTGCCTTACAAYTAGTAAAAGAGAAACTAAAAAACTCAAATATCGCTATAGCGCTATCAAAATGCTGCGTTGCATTTACTGACTCAAAACTAAGTTCAGAAAAATCTAAACAACATACAAAACTATGCTCATAGGCTTTTAAACAGCTTAAACTGTGTTAGAATGTGGATAAAATGTAGGCTTATTAGCTCGATCAAATCCATCTGTCCATTTCCTTTACCCGTTTTTCCTTTCTGGGTCACAGGGACCTGCTGCCTATCTCCAGCAGTCACTGTGCGAGAGTTCTGTGTACACCCTGGACATGTTGCAAGTCCATCAAAGGGACACAGAAAGACGAACAACCAGTCACTCTGGGGACACTAGAGTTACCAATGAACCTAACATATATATTTTTAGTCTATAGGAGAAAACCAGAGAAAACCTGCATGTGCACAAAGAGAACAKGCTAACTCTGGCYKTGAKGTRTCTGRGATAAATCYTGTGCCAGCAGAAATTGAATTTGAATTACTCAGATTGAATCTGTACAAAATTTGAAATTGAATGCATTGGTTTGAAAACAAATTTTACTAAATTGAAACTGAATTTAAAGTTTTGTATCTGCACGAATTTGCTTTGAAACTGTATTTTGGTTTATTAAAAATTCAGTTTGACTACTTTCACTTTCAGTTCCATAATTCAGATTTTTGTGTCACACATCCTGGTCCCTGAGAAAGCCAGCCAGAGTAATCAAACACAGATCCACAGATTTACATCATGGATCACATTTTGATCAGATGCTGCTGCTGACTGATCCATGATGTGATGTAAATATAACATTTTCTACATATAGGTAAAATTAATCACTGCAATAAAATAACTTTGTTTTTGTCACTTTTACGATGGATTGCATCAACTCTGTTACATTACAGAAGGGAAACTTCACCGAAGTGAAACATAAATCTGTGGATCTGTGTTTGATTACTCTGACTGGATGTGTGACACACAAATCTGAATTATGGAACTGAAAGTGAAAGTAGTCATACTTATTTTTTAATAAACCAAAATACAGTTTCAAAGCAAATTAATTCAGATACAAAACTTTAAATTCAGTTTCAATTTATTGAAATTTATTTTCAAATCAATGCATTCAATGTCAAATTATGCACATTCAGATTTAACCTGAGCAATTCAAATTCAATTCCTGCTGGCACAAGGTTTATCCCTTTCTCAATGAGAGGCGGCAGCTCTAACTACTGTGGTGTTGTGCAATTGATCAAATCAATGGGCCTCATGCAAGAACATGTTCGTATTCACAGATTTGTTCTTAAATTGTGCGTACGAGTGATTTAGGAGAATTTGTGGC